GCGTGGCCGGGTCCAGCCGCGCGAGCTGCCCGCTCAGCAGCCTGCGGGCCAGAAGGGCCGCACGGGCCGGGAAGGCTGCGTGGACCACGCGGACGGACCGCTGGTGTCTGCTGCCCTCTGCAGACTCCGTGGCAGCACACAGAGCCGGACTGACCAGAACCGGGGCCGGAACCGGGGCCAGAACCAGGACTCGGTCCTGGACTTGGACAGCCCCGCATCAAGCCGCAGGAGCGGCGAGCTCCGAGATGAGCCGGTGCCCACGGGAGGTCACTGCCTGGTGTCTCCCTGTCTGCTCCAGGCAGCATCTCCATGCAGACACCACCGCTCCGTACTGGACCGCTGTGCAGTGGGGTGCCTGGAGCCAGCTGGGCAGCACCTGGATGGGGAGCAAACCCTTGGCACATCGCTGTCCCACCATCAGTTGCCTGGAGAGGTTGCAGGACCCTCAACAACCTTGACTCAGCTAAATCCTGCTCCACCACACGACAGATGGGAAAACAGCACTTGATAACGCCTAGCACCCAAAACACTGTCTGCAGATGGACCCGTCCCTACTCGAGATCCCCTCAGGAAGCCAGGGGAAGAAGGGTTTAAAAAAAAAAAAAAGGCTCAAAAGAGTCCTTCAGCCTAAAGCCATGCTTGCAGCCCACCCTCCAGCAGGCCCACGGAGCGCAGCTCTGGCTCATGCCATGCCTGCATGGCGAGCCTGGCAGTGCTGGAGGAGGGGAAGCACTGCAGTAGGGACCGGACCTTGGGGACAGCCCCAGCAGGGCTGACCCTGCAGCCCACGGGGCCGCAGCACAGCTGAAGGGGGCTCCGTAGAGGAGCCGGTGCCAGAGCAGCAGGGCGCAGTGTTCGCTGCAGAACACCCACTCCCCCTGGCCCCGCTGCACCCCAGCGCGGACGAGGGGCACGTGGGGCTCTGAGAAACTTCCTGCCCCCGTCTCAGCACCACCACATCCTGTTTTCACTCTGCTCTGCACATCCTGGGTTGCGTCAGCACTGTCCTTCCCCACAGACAGCCAAGGTACATCAGGAGAAGAGTTTGGGGACAGGCAGCTCCAGGGAAAACCCTTCCAGGCAGCCAGGCCCAGTTGGGGCATCCAGAGCCGAGAGCTGGCCAGGGCCCTCACGCTGCTTCCAGCCGCAGGGAGCAGCCTGCCCCCGTCACCTCCGCTCCTCCGCACCCACAGCTGGGACAGCTGCCGGGGTGCACAGCGCTGCAGGCGAGCACCGCCTCGGCCGCGTCCACGCTCACCGAGCTGACAACGCGACTGCAGAGAGTCATGGTCGATCCCAGCCCGGCTGCGCCCTTCTGCAGCCCCGCGGCTGCACGGCGCAGGCCCGTGCACACCTCACTCCCTCTCCGCACCAGCCCTGTCACTTTTTTCTTTCCCTCAGCCTAGAGAGCAAGCCGTAGCCTGCTGCTTGGGCGC